CCCATCCCCAGGGCACGCTGCAACTGAGACTGAGACTGGTCATGGTGGTACGCACCTGTAATCCCAGCTCTTGGGAGGCTGAACACAGGAGAATCACTAGAAGTCTGATCTAAGTAATGAGACCATGTAGACCCTATAGATGTCCTTACTAAAATTAAAAAAAAGAAAGAAATTTGACCTGCAAATAAATACAAAGGATGACAGAAAAAAAATGGGGTCTACGAAATATTCATAATTGCAAATTGCAATTTTTAACCAAAAAAAAACTCTCTTTAGCAAATGTTGCAAATAAAATATTGCAACAGACAATTCTATTAAAATTCAGTTTAGTTAGTGATTATATGCACTTATGGCATTTCTGATTCCAAAATTATATTCCAAATATAGCTATTTGAAAGGTAATAAATAGAAATCAAAACTTTAAGTTTTAATATAAAGATAAAAAGAATAAATAACAAAAGTTCCAAAATTTAATGTTATGGAATCAGTAACCTAAATCAGACCAAATTCATTTGAACTTAGTGTAATGACACATGAAAAACCTGAAAGTATTCAAATACCAAACTTCTAAATAGTCATAATGTCTTATGAGAATATACAAAATCAAAAAAGTATATTACAACAACAAAATCATAAGCAAACCAGCAAGATAAAAATAATTATCCCACATTTACAGAATTAAAAAATATTAACCAGGTTTGAAAAATGGTTCCACATACCCAAATTTATAATTTAATATTATTTTAAATATTCTTAACTTTTACAAATTTTATAAAGTTTTCAAATCATAATATAATATTTTGCAAGAAAATGAATATTTTAGTTCACATTCATTGAAAAATGTGTATTCCTTCTTTTTCTATGTTATTTTCATAATTTGCAATGTGGAGTGTAAAATCAAAAAACCTGCTAATGTACTTTGAATGTTTATTCCATTTATCATCCTGCAAATATTTGCAATGCTCAATTTATTAAACTTGATCTAATTATACAAAACGAACAATGTACTTGCTTTGTGTACCTGTTTTTGCCTATTACTTTCCTGGGAATGTGCCATTTCAATAAACGCCATTGATAGCAAACACTAAGGGAATGACCACATAGGGCGGTGAGATACTGCCGCAGAGTAAGTGCCTGCTTAGACAAGTGCAAGGACCGGGGTTTGACACCCCACAACACATGCCATGCCAGCCCAACCCAAGCATGCTCAGCTGGCCACAGAGACTGGGCATGGTGGTGTAAGCCTATAATCCCAGCTCTGGGGAGGCTGAAAACAGGAAGATCACTACGAGTCTGAGCAGCATAGTGAGACACTGTACCAAATACATAAACAAACAAACAAACAAACAAAATGACCACATAGACATAAAGTTCAGCAGGGCTGAATAACTACCTACTGTAATTGGGGAGACTATCACAATGCTCTGCTTTATCCAGGATGAATTTTTTTCTCAGAGTGCTAAATGCCTAATCAATATGTATAGATACCTCTTTACCATGGAGGTTAGATATATTTGTGTGAATATTTTAGCACAATTGAAAGTATTCTTTTTTTGTGGATGACAATCCATTGGCGTATTACAAATGTAATTGGCTTTCTAAACCAAATATTTCTCTATATGTACAAAAATGCAGAATGTGGTACATTAACTCCTGTTCATCCTCACAGAATAATTGTATTTTCACTTTAAAAATGACCCCACATTTTATAATTAAGACAAATAAAACATTTATAAATACACAAGAAAATGTAGCAACTCCTAATCACTTGGGAAATCTGTGTGTGCAGGCATAAAGTGTTACTGTTTTAATTTAATTACGCCAATTGACATCGAAGTAGCTATTTGTTTTAGGTTATATGACACAATATGAATGTTTTGTTATTTTCCTTGCTGTCAGATTATTCTTATGAGAAATAGATGGCAGCAAAAGCCAAAAGTATAATCTTCGTTGGATAATTACTTTCCCTGTTAGACCTTCTAAATTATAGGCTGGCTTGTTGTCAGCCTCAAGTTTTCATTTCTAGGTTTTGTTTAGCACTGGGTAAGATAAAAGGGTCAGCAACTCCATTCTTTAGAAAATGAACAAATCCCCCGTGCTACTTAACATTGATCTTTTTGGTGTTTAGAGGTTTCGATTGCAGAGCGCCCAAGTAGATTGTACCCAATCCGTTAGAGCAAAACGGACTGTGGATATAATTCTCTTTGGCTATGGTGGGGAAGATCATTAAATTTTGGTAAGGAACTGTGTGACACTACATAGACTGATTAGATGCTTATTTATGGAACACGTTCAATCATTGTTAACTTTTTGTTTTGTTTTGTTTTCTTGTAGCTCCTGTAAATCCTCACTTAAGTAAGTATGTGTTCACTTTCAAATGGCACTGTATTTCATCATAAAGAAAAATGACGTGTAAAAACACGAAGAATATTCATCAATTACCCTTCGATTTAAAGCAGAATGATTTAAAATTAGTAAATCTGCCATTGTATATAAATTTTAAATTTCAGAGAATATTGTAGGTAAATTGTTAAACACTTATAGTTGATGTTTATAACATCTCATAAATATAGGTATGTAGTGTGTTTTTTCAAACCTGGCTAATATTTTTTAATTCTATAAGTGTGGGATACTTGTTTTTATTTTGCTGGTTTATTTGCTTATGATTTTGTTGTTGTAATATATTTTTTGATTTTCTGTATCCTCTAAAGAGATTATGACTTTTTAGAAATTTGGTATTTGAATAGTTCCAGATTTTTCATGTGTTGTTATATTAAATTCAAATATATTTGGTCTGATTTAGGTTAAGGATTCTGTACAATTGTTAAATTTTGGAACTTTCGCTATGTTTTTTTTAGCTTTATATTAAAGCTTAAGAATATAGATAAAATAGAATAAGCATACATATTTAATACATATTAAAAGTATTACCGTATATGAAAACATCCTTATCTCTGGAAAACGACTGAGAAATAATATGAGGGTTTAGCATAAGAACCCGCTCTTGAATGTCATTTCAAGAGAACTTTTTATTTTTAATGTAAGGTTAGGGTTTAGCAGGTCGTATAGAATGAGGAAAGGTAAGTTGGAAGAAGAGTACTGTTGGTTATCAGGCCACTGATTTCTGAGTTTTTATTTTTGTTTCTACCATAATTAGAAGAATTCAAGAAATAAGTCATTGGTGGTAGCACATCTTTATTGGTATGTAGCTTCCAAAATTGCTAGCATCGTGTTGTACACAGTGGGTGGTTAAAACAAAAGGTCTGATCGTCCTCAGTTCTGTATTGTCTGAAATTCCTAGATCTCATTACTTTATTTTAAGCAATCTTGCATATCATATTTAATATTAAGATTTTCATATATTTATACCACTCAGCACATGTTCATTATTTATAAAAT